GCGTATTTTGCGTGGTTTTTTTTTTTATTTTAATCAAAATAAGTAAACTGAGACAGTAGACAATCTAGTTTCCTTATGGCATCGAGCATTTCTTTCTTTGTTGAAACAAAGAGTTTCCTTTTTCTTGTATAGAAGCACTATTTCTATGGATTGTCAGTATGCATATGTGAGCACCATGTTAGACTATAAGACTTTTTTATTTCGGTTTATATTGTAATTTGTATAATAGGCAAGCGTGTCTTTGCATTGTTCTCACATAATATACGTACAGTATTGGAATATGAATCAGAGACACTTCTCCATTCGATTCTACATTTTGGAATAAGTACCTAGCTTCACGTAGCTTCACTGACGGACTGATTGATAGACTATTATTTATTTTGTATAATTGTTGACGTTTCAAAAGTACCAAATTGTGGTTTAACTCGTCGAGTACCGGTTTTGTAGACACAATTATAGAACAATAGGTTGCGGTCACCGGTGACCGCTTGGTATTTGACAGTTTAATTGAAATAAATGTTTTGATTTTGACTTTGTGATTAGTGGACATATTTAACTTCTTAGAGAAAGTCATTCTAACTAACACCGATGATATTTTATACTACAGTGGCGCCACTGCTGACAAAGTATCAAGTATTAAGTTTAGCAGTCGGTTAAAAAAACTTCTCTCACGACATACACAATGTTTTATACAAAAATTTCATAAACAAAATCGCGTCAATACAAATTACTCTTTCATTGTCCCGCCTCGCTGTACGCTCGCCAATCTCTACTCTAACCCAAACACATTCTGTGGACCGTAACAAACGTCATCGGGACTAATGTGGCTGATATGATTAATTACACAAATTCCCGCTTTGTTCTGCACTCTGCGTTGTGTTAGGGTATAGTTTACCGGCATTCTGTCTCGGGAAATGGAATGTAATAAGTAAGTAATATGCTTCGTCAGTCTTGGGGAATATATATTTTTAATGTATGTATGTGGTGTAGGGTAAGGAATCCTACTAATATTATAAATGTTAACGTTTGTGAAGATGTATGTACATTGTATGTGTGTGTGTGTATATATTTGTTACTTTTCACGTAAAAAAAGATGAAGGGATCGAGATCAAATTTGGAACAGAGGTAGATTATCGTCTGATACATAGGCAACCTTTAATAGGTACGTGTTACCACGTGTACGCGAGCCAAGCCGCTAGACGAAGGTAGTGTTCTATAAAAAGTGAGATACTTATAAGGATACTAGCTACTTCCGCGCGGTTTCACGCGCTCTGCTCAGCTGCTATTGGTCGTAGCGTGATGTTTTATAGCCTATAGCCATCCTCGATAAATGCTCTATCCAACACAAAATAATTATTCAAATCAGACTTGTAGTTACGGAGATTAGCGCGTTTAAACAAACAAACGAAATAACATATAATCTTGTTTATTGTCTTATGTGAGGCTATTGCGAGATTTCTAATTTCACTGTGAGTTTTGCCAAATATTTATTTACTGTACACCTACTTAGGAATTTCTATTAAAATCATTATTAATTGTCTAATTGCCAAGAAGCGGACTTACAAATATGTTGAATAAAACCATGATAAGGTGTTCAACCTATTGTCAGCTACACTCCTTCAAATTTTTCTGTAGACACCACTATGTTATTGACAATTTTCACATTTTTAAAGATATCGTATCAAACTCTCTCGTCTATTTGAATAACAGCTAATTTATCGCAACAAATTACAACATAATTATTAATCCCGAAAAACCCATTAAAATGAAATTCCCGTTAAACACAACACTAGCGAAGTATCGAGCGCTTGTAATCCCGGGACTGTCCCAGGAGTCCGGAGTCCGGACTCCGGACAACTTGTTACACAGTTAAATAAATAATTAGCTGCTCAATCCCGGAATTGGTTGCTAATCTTAGGGGACTTTCTCTCAAACTATACGTCCCTTAGGTTGATTGGAAGGTAAACAAAAGTTTCGTTACGTTTCGTTCTCGAAAATAACAAAGACTTTTTTTTTAAAGGAGGAAAATCATCAGGAGGCTTCTCCCGCCTGGGCGAGGCGGGAGGGAGTGTCAGACTCTTACTGACTAAAACCACCCCGTTCCTTCTCCTGCACGTCCATCCAGAGCCCCGGTTACCCGTTAGGTTCTCCGCGACTAAAAAAGATAACAAAGACTGGCGCTTTAGTTGAGTAGTTGCAAAAGCGACAGTCGTGCAAAGCGTCTTAGTAAACTAAATTTCCGCGGAACGCCTAACGGGTTGCCGGGGTTCCGGCTCGAAGAGCACTAGTAGGAACGAGGTGGTTCTTAGTCAGTAACAGTCTGACACTCCCTCTCGCCAACCCAAGGCAGGAGAAGTCATTGGATGGTTTTCCCCCCTCAAAAAAAAGGTAAACTAATTTTGTATGTGATATATCACAAAACCTGGATGGACAATATAGTGTGTAGTGTATCTATGTTTACAAATAAATATTTTTATTTTTATTTCGGATTTACTAATACTGATTTTTTGGTTGCATTTAAGTTTTATACCCTATTTGTCTATCATCATGTATGTCTACGTATTCATCAACATCAATTTATCAAAATGGTTTCGACAATAACCAATAATCTCAAAATCTAATATTACTTCTACTAGATGAAAGACACTCTTCGAACATTAAAATGTCACGGTAAAACATCAAAACCCGCCATAACGCCGTCTTTCTACATGTCCACAGAAGTGAGAAAGCAATTATCCGTCCTGTCGTCCTTTCTTTTCATTACATAATTAACGTCCCTTTGTCATTACGAACATTTCTAACTAATTAGATTTACGAGGCAGCCGAACATGTGGTTTCTGCGTTAATTACAGTAATCAGACAGATATCTGCCTCGTCTCATTTGTAGATGTAGATACGACGTTTAATGGACAAAAGGTCTTTCTGACCTTTGAATATTGATAGGCGTTGTAAATTATTTGTGTATTCTTTCGTATTCGGATATCCTCACTGGTTTGTTACATTGACATTAATAAAAAAATAGATAAGACCACGAAAAAAGGGATCTACGTACTCATGAAACTACATATTTAGCGACTGCACAGTTGGTGCGGTGGCTGGACAACCGGCTGCCACGCAACGTGTCGCAGGATCGCATAGAATAACTCTTTGTGTGATCCACAAATTGTTCGTCCGCGTCTGGGTGTCATGTGTATGTGACCTTGTATGCACTTACGACACAGGAGAAACTCCTAGTGTGGGGCAAAGTTTTTTTTTTCTAAGTTTTAAGTGAAATATTCAGGTACAACCATGTTTACATATCATAACATCACGCCTTTTTTTTCTCCGAAGGGGTAGACAGAGGTGTACATTATGTCACTGTACAATGTAACACCCACTATTCACTATTTATGTTTTGAGTCCCATGTAATAGGGGGTGAGCCTATTGCCATATACCGGGCACAATTCCAGACTCTGTGCTACTACTGAGAATATTTAAAAACCCAGTAATAATAATTGCCCGACCTGGGAATCGAACCCGAGACCCCTAGCCCTGCAGTCGCACCCGCGACTATGTTTAATAGTTATTATTATGGCTCTGTTTTACAATAAAGTCCTGGGAATATCGTAACTAAAATTAAAAATACCTATAACTAAGTAGTTATGCCAAGTCCGACAGCGGCTGATGACGACGATGACGTGGATGAGACCACGCAGCAGAGCCGAGCTGACGCTGACGATGACGGCAGGGTCTACAAGAACCCTAGGAACTCACTTTAAAATAACATTAAATATTATTGTTTACACAGCCAAATGCGACGATTATGCTCAGACTTAAGACACAAAATTCTCAATAATTCATTTATAAACAACTTTTAAAGGTCGGTTAATTAATAACCTTGTTCTAAGTGTAACAAATACTTTTCTGAAAATCGCACCAAAATCGGTTCAGCACATCGCGCACAAACATACATACGTACATACATACATACCTCTTTTATTGAGGTCGATAAAAAAATTACAAAGCTCATAATACCTAATTACACTAAATATTCTCACACATATGAAGGTGGACTCCCCCGTGTAATTACTAATTGCCATCCCTTTGAGCCACCCACACAAAAATATTACACTGCTCATTCACGTGTACGTATGATAAGCCATCCTTTCTATTTATAGGTCTTTCAAAGGAATCCCTAATTAATGTTGGAACAATCATGTTCTTAATTAAAAGTTTGAGAAGTTCTATCTACTGATAAGTTGTTAATTACAAAGTTTTTTGGGTCTACTTGACTTCCAGCTATGTTTGTGGTTAAGTAGATAATATGTGCCTTCTTAGATTTTTATTTAACCGGCTATCTCGTGATTGGCTGAACCGATTTGGATGTGGTTTACAGAAAAGTGTATTTTACACTTTCGACTTCAAAAAAAAGAGTGATGTCAGTTTTTTTAAACGAGGTTTTTAAAAAAAATATTTATTTTTAGCCATGGTCGCCGCTATACGGCAAAGGTCTCCTACCACTCCTTTCTATGTAAAACGCTTTTGCGCCATTGTTACGTAGATTTTCTTAATGGTTTTAATAAAATAAACATTGGATACATAATTTTTTTTTGTGAGAGACAATATCATCAAAAGACTCCTCCTGCCTTGAGCAAAGCGAGCATTCTATTGAATAAAAATAATCGTTTTATGTTTTTTTTTTTACTTTTATCCTAATCAGTAGGTCCTACAACATCTAATAATTTTTTGATGCATTCATTTTAACTACCCTGAAGGGGGAAATTCATTCAATGACTTCTCCCTCCATGGGTTAAGCGAAAGGGAGTGTCAGACTCGTTCCTACTCCTGCTCTTCTTGCCGGAGCCCCGACAACCCGTTAAGCCTTCCGCGGCATCAGGCATCAGCCCTACTGGGCCCCATCTGTGGTGGATTTTAACTAGTCTGCCATCTATTTTTACTAAAGGATAAAATGTAATACTTATGAAATATCAAATATTAACCACTCATTTCTTTGTTACAGCATCAGCGCTGCCAAGTCCGACAGCGGCTGATGACGACGATGACGAGGATGAGACCACGCAGCAGAGCCGAGCTGACGCTGACGATGACGGCAGGGTCTACAAGAACCCTAGGAACTCACCTTCGGCAGACTGCCCTAGGGATGAGGAACAGGCTACCTTGCTGGTAAGCTAATCAGTAACTAAGTTAATTATTTGTAAGCTATGTGGTGATGAAAGAGAAAGATGAAACAATCCCTGAACCCCTAATCCTGAAATCCCTAACTCCCCAAAAAGCCGGATTCCCACTTATATCTCCTAGTGTTTCGGGTTAGACGGGTCACCTGATTGTAAGCAATCAGCGCCGCCAATTGTCACCCGCAGCACCAGATGAATCACAAGGCGTTGCCGGTCTTTAAATAACAAACTCTACACGTAAATACGAGTCTCGAATCCTAATATGCTTCTTTATTTTTAGGGTCAAAAATGTCTCCGCAAGTGTTCTTCTGACGAGGACTGCAAGAGTAAAAAGAAGAAGTGCCTCTGTGATGGAGCATGTGGCATGTCTTGCATCAAACCAGGTCAGTGGTAGTACAAATATCAAAGTCAGCGTCAAATTCAAAGCATTTATTTCAATTAATACTTAATTAGGCACTTTTGAAACGTCAAAAATTGAATTGTCCTTCCGTCCGTCTGTCAGTAAAGGTCGTTGGAAAGTGTAGTTTCGAATAGAGAAGAACGAGCAAGCAACACCATTGTTACTCTTTTAAAAAATGGTTTTATAGTCTCAATAAAAAATGTAAAATGTAAATATGCTGTCTGTAAATCCTATGTACCCTATAATATAATATAAATAAATATAGCAATGATGCTATAGGGTAAATGTACCCTATAGCATCATTGCTATAGGGTACATTTTAGAAGGATTGGGGTCTTTAGAGTTGCGGCCTGTTATTTACAAGTAGTTTTATTTGATTGGTAAGTAGACTTACCTATTGTGTTATTGGACCAGTAATTGAATTGACAGGACTTTATTATATTCAGTTATTTTAAGTTTATTTGGACAAAAAGGCTTTTAGGTTGACCGTTGTCCTCTATTTTGGGTTTAAATATGTGAAGAATAATCTCGAACGAAACCACACAATAACCATCGTTTATTTGGACATTAAATGTTATTAGTTACTTACTAAAGCTATTAAGAAGTGGTCTAGATAACTTATTTCTCAAATATTCTCCCACTATACAGGCTGTAAACCATAGATATAACAATAGAATAAAAGATGATCTAGATATGGAAAGAGAGCGCAAGGCGCTGGTTCTGAGGGGAAACATTTGGCGCGCAGGTTTGCTGGTTGTTCAGCACCGGTTAAAATAACACTTCTTAAGGCGTTTTGTCAAGTTACTCCTTAGTACACTTTTTTTAAGTAGGGAAAGTCATCGAATCACTGCTCCCGCCTGGGTGAGGCGGGAGGGAGTGTCAGACTCTTCCTGACTAAAAACCACCCCGTTCCTTCTCCTGCACGTCGAGCCGGAGCCCCGGTTACCCGTTAGGTTCTCCGCGACTCCGAATCGGCATCGGCCCTATTGGGCCCCATCCGTGGTGGTCTGATGGCTCTCTGAGGCGCGCGCGGAACGCGACGCGCCGTACGCTCGGGTCTGTTTCTGGTCGGACGGGGAGCTCCCGCTTACGGTGGCCGGAGATCGTCCCGCGATTCCCGATGCCCGGTGTGTCCTTCGCGATGGCTGGGTTCCGAGGATCCTTAGTACATTAGCTGCCTGCCAATAAAGGCCCCTTTGACATCGGTCCAGCCATTCCAGAGATTAGCTAGTACAAACTGACACATAGACGGACAAAAATTAATACTTTTATCAATAACTTTTGTTTCCCAATTATTTCCCAAGTAAAAAAAAATGTTGTGTTTCGTCGTGTGAGTGAGGTTACCGGAGCCCAATTACCTTCCCCTTCCCCAATCTCCCCAATCCCTGAATCCCCAACGACCCTCAAACTCCTAATCCCCAAAAAGCCGGTGACGCACCTGTAACGCCTCTGGTGTTCTAGGTGTCCATGGGCGACGCCGATTGCTTACCATCAGGTGATCCGTCAGCTCGTTTACCGGCTTATGCCATAAAAAAAAATAACTGAACTTACAAAGATCACATCAAAAGAATAGACAAAATAACCATGAAATCACAAAAGACAGGTATGATACAGATTGTAGGGTTAAAATGACGAGCGATAGAAATAAAAATGACAAATACATTGGAAATGTCGAATAAATTAGGGTACAAAGGGTTGAACCAGATGTGTTGGGGGAATCTAAATAATATTGGCTATAATACAAACCGGGATTGACGGGTTTACATATATTTTGGCCCTTTTTGACGTATGGCTTACATGATCTTATTGTGTTGGCGGTTGAGTGAACGTGTGGTGTTGTGTTTTAGGTTGTTGGGTATGACTTTTGAGTTGGCTGTATCGTTTGATTGGATTAATAATTCTTTTATAAACTACGTTTCAAAATATCGATTAAAACGCCGTTTGCTTATCATCAAGCGATCTGCTGGATGTTTGATGCCCTATCAAAAAAAAATCTGAGTTTCGCTGATGCTTTTTTATTTATATCTGATGGGCCGACGTCTGGTCAGGCGAGCCTGATGGTAAGCGATGATGCGGTCTACAATGGAGCACGTCTGCCCATAACCAACCTATTCATACGTGCTTTGAAGATACCCAGCTTATACCCTTCAGGAAACACAGACTCTGGCAAAGAATTCCACTCTTTAGCAGTACGCACAAGGAAGCTTGATACGAAGAGCTTCGTGCGTTTGGGTGGGATATTTGCCATGAATGAGTGATTGTCGATTGTCTTGTGCTACGATGATGGAAAGGACTAGGGGGAAAATTATAATTAGTACTTTTAAATTACTTAGTAGTTCCTAGTTCCTATCATGAGTTATCTTATACTATTATATAAAGCGGAAGAGTTTGTTTGTTTGTTTGTTTGAACGCGCTAATCTCCGTAACTACAAGTCTGATTTGAATAGTTCTTTTTGTGTTGGATAGCGCATTTATCAAGGATGGCTTTAGGCTATAAAACATCGCGCTACGACCAATAGGAGCTGAGCCGAGCGGGTGAAACCGCGCGGAAGTAGCTAGTATAAGAACTTAAAATATTCATACGGTCTAATAGGTACAATAAGAATTCATCGACAGAAAGTAGGTCCAACATATAAGTTATATGTACCTCTGTACCTCCAGAGAATAATATGTCAAACTACACATTACTTAAAGAATGGTATGCATCATAAATTATACTGCAAAACTTTCGATGTAAATTACTCTTTTGAACTAAATTCAACCTTGGGGATCACTTAATAACTATCTCAGTTGCTTAGCAAGTAATAAATATAGTGAGTTCAGTAGATGATGTTAAATTAAGTTTTAAGAGAAGAAGTTAATCCTTTGATAAAATGTTTACGGTGGTTTTTAAGGCCAAGGGTACACTAGGGGACAAAATAATGTCCACGACATGTATCGGTGACATATCGAGCGAAGCCTGCCGATTTCGCCCGACAACGCGACACGTGTCACAAGACATTTCTCCCCCAGTGTATGCTTTGTTTTAGAGTTATTTGAATTTAAAGATGTTTTGTTTCATAAATGACATTTTTTAAGGGGGAAAATCATCGGATGACTGCTCCCGCCTGGGTGAGGCGGGAGAGAGTGTCAGACTCTTACTGACTAAAAACCACCCCGTTCCTTCTCCTGCACGTCGAGCCGGAGCCCCGGTTACCCGTTAGGTTCTCCGCGACTTCATAAATGGGATATGGTAATGAAATTAATGGGTCTGGGATGTCTATTGATGTGACTAGCGGTATTCAGAGGTCAGGTTTCAACTTCTACACATTTCTAAACATTTGGAACTTTTGCCATACCTCGTTCTGGTTGTGTCACTTTTATATGTATTAGTTTTTATCCACCCTTAAACCAGCACAATCGGAGTACTGGGTTATTTTATACCAGTGATGTTTTGTTCAAACATATTTTGTCATTTCTACCCTGGAGTTGGATCAAACACTTCATTTTCGGCACTATTTGTATAAAGCAAGTTATTTAACAACACAGAATCCTTTTTGAATTAATTTTCTAACGCGCAAATAAAACCAAATATTTCATAACAGCATGATCAGCCAGAGCCGGGGGGGGGACACCTTCTCGAACCACGAGTACAAAAAGGTTGAGTTTTAGTCAGTAGGAGTCTGACACTCCCTCTCGCCTCACCCAAGGCGAGAAAATAAATTGGATGATTTTCCCAAAAAGAGAAACTAAAGAAGCTATCTTTAAAGAAATATTACGTCTTTGCTTTCAACCTTAATGAATATATAACTATTATATTATTTTATTTTATTATTTTATTAAGGTGTAAATATTTTAGTTTTAAATTTGTTTTTTATATATATTTTAAGTTGTATATATTAATTTTTATCTTGTATTGTATATATTTAATTGTATAATAGTTATTATTAATTCTAGAAAGTAAATAATATATAACTAGATAGGTATATAATTATAGACATAAAGTTTGAAACTATATCTCCAGTTAATTAGCACTTCTAGTGTCTTCATTAAGTTGGCCGTACTCTCGGCAGCGGTTCCTACAAACTGTTACAATTAAAATGTCAGGCTTTTAATTAAAAGGGAATAGGTTGCAGTTAGGTGTACAGAAATATGGAGTGGTATTAGAAATATATTTGTTAGTTTGTTTGTTGCAATATTTTGTTGTAACTATATAATTTCGGTTATTAGTGTCGATTTTTCCAACGCCAGAAAAATTTTAACTAAGTAATAACTTTGGATATTTTACACTTGGGTCCTTGCCAACTAGTAAAATTCAATACTTTTTTCGAACTGTCAAAAACGACAGTTTTTAATGAATTTTGTACGAGATTGTGTATTGTGACGTCACGATTTTTTAGCGTCAAACAGCATAATTATTTCTTATTTTTTTTTTATACATACTATTTGATGGGGCGACGTTCGACCACTATCTCGCCTGGTGGTAAGCGATGATGCGGTCTACGATGTAGCACGTCGTCCCATAAGCAACCTATTCACTCGGGCCTTGAAGACTCCCAGGTTGTACCCTTCAGGAAATACAGACTCTGGCAAAGAATTCCACTCTTTAGCAGTACGCACAAGGAAGCTTGAAGCGAAGCGCTTCGTGCGTGTGGGCGGAACATCTACCATGAATCGGTGACGCTTCGCCGATTGTCTTGTGGTACGATGATGGAAAGGAAAAATATTAAATTTAAGTTGGTCGTAAAGTCAATAACGAAAGTGTGATTGTTTTTTTTATATTTTATTGTATTAAACAATCGAATTAATTTACTTTTGATTAGGGAAAGTACCCAATTCTTACGTCCTAAAAACTGTCAACGGTCACTTTTATTCTATAGTTAAGAATTAATTGATGATTGAAAAATCGGCTCTAAGTTTGTTGATAGAGTGACGGTCATAGAAAGAGGTATTGGGTACGATTCCTGGACAAAGGAAAGTATTATTGAGGCTTTTGGGATTTAT